ATGAGCCTTGCGCTTGCTTCCAAAGAGCTGAGGACTAAAGTGGGAGCTGCAGACTTACTCTGAGCACAGCCACCCCCAGGGCAGCAAGCAGCCAGAGAGGCCAGCCCAGCCGGGGCCACCACCTCCGGCCTGGATTGCACACAGTGCTTTTAGGGCAGAGGTTGGTAGGAATCCAGAAGCGATGGCCTAGCAACTATGATTACCTAAGCCCACTGCCATCAAGTTGATTCTGACTGGTAGTGTGACCCTATAGGACAGAGAAGAGTCCCCATACACACACACACCCATAGGGTTTCCAAGGCGGTAAATCTTGATGGAAGCAGGTTCCCGCTGCTTTTTCCTGGGGGGTGACCGGGGGCTTCCGACCACCAGCCTTTGGGTTCACAGCAAAGCACTTAAGCACTGCACCACTAGGGCTCCTTGTGGTTAGGTGTCCCCATGTCAGCGCTAACCCCTGGAGACTGAACAACAGATTAAAACCCTGCCTGTCCCCGAGCCAGCCTCCCGCTTGTCAACATTTGAGCCTGTTGTTGCGGCCACCATGCCGCCCATCTCACTGAGCGCTTGCCCTTCTGTGATGACCATGCTTTGCAAGCATGATGTCTTCCAGGGGGTTGTCTCTCCTGATAACACGTCCAACACGGGAGAAGAAATCTGTGATCTTACCAGATGTCTTGAGGCAGGGAGATGACTCACACTGGGTTACAACGATGGGCGGGAGGATGGGCATTGCAGGGAGACTGCTTTGGGCTCACGAAAGGCCTTGGGGGCCTGTTTTCTTCAACCCAGAGAGAGTATTTTGACAAAATGTGGAAGTACTTTGACAGAAACAGATAGCTGCCTTCACCCGTGTTGGAAACAGGATAGCCTGAATGCTCCTGAGAGGCAAGAATGGCGAGCCTTTGTCGTTGTGGTCGGGAGAGACCAGCCCCTGAAGAGGGGCATCCTGCTCGGTAAAGTGGAGGGGCAGGGAAAGAGGAAGACCTTCGGCAAGATGCATGGACATAGTGGCTGCCTCTATGGGCACAAACCTCAGCACCACTGAGGACAGCCCAGGACCGGGGGTTTTTCATGGGGGGTGTTTCATGCTGTCGTCCGTTAGGGGGCTAGGAGGCCGAACCAGCTCGCTGGCACCTAGGACAAGAACTTTTCACCCGTGGGGTGCTGAGGCTAGATGACCGATGTGGGCGGGGCTTCTAAAACCCCTTCCATCTTTGCCTTGGGTGACACTGTAGCACACCTCCCAGTTTTCAAGTTACCGGGCCGTCTCCCAACGTGGCTACCCTTACCCTGACATTAGCCCACTGACAGTGGACTTTTCCTATTTTGTAGTATCTGACGAAAAGGATTCCCCAGAATCCCAGGTACCAACATGTCAAGTCGAGGCTGGACACAGGTGAGTAACGATTTGAAAACCTCCACCTGTCTTTGTTTGAAAATCTAGTAGCCCGCTGACGACTGAAGTGTGCCTGGTTTAAGTCACAGCTGAAAGTTTCTCCCCATCTTGCTAATTAATCTTTCAGGGCCGCCCAGGACTTTCTGTAAAAGCTGTTTTTAAGCGCATCCGTTGACATTTGCATTCGCCTAATTTTGCTTGATGATTCCTTACTACCAAGGCGGTGGGAGAGGAAGGGTTAGAAGTCTCCTAAATGGAGAGGTAGAAATTTGCAGACACGGGGAAGCCGCAGGGCCACGGCCTTGCAGACAATCAGGCGCTCCACGTCCAATGGGGAACACGCGGAGACGGTTCCTATGAGCTGGTGGCCATCCATGACGCACACCCGCCTTTGTTCAGGTCGCTATTTGTCGAGTGCCGCCCACATGAAGCATCGCAGCTGATGAGAGGTCTCACAGAGTGTGAATCATTATTCTTCAATCAAGGAACTTGGATTCAAGTGCAGGCGAGCACCCTTGAATGAGTTACCAGAATACCCGATATAATTAAATGAGCTGCGACCGTGACGTTGATGAGGCGCGCTAATTTACGTGTTCAGGGGGGTTTGCAGCGTCGGGTGGTGGAGACAGCTCACCAGACTCGGCGGATGTGCAGCCTCGTGACAGCCCGGTGCATTCGTGTGTTTGCTTTCTCCACGCAGAGCATCAGACTCTAAACTGAATCCGCCCCCACAGGCACTTTCAATAACTAGGCAACTGAGGAGGAAAGTCAGGATGTGGACACTTGAAATCGCCTCATTCATTTTGTCAATGGTTTCCTCCCGCCACCTCCACCAGCGTTACCCTCTCAAGTGTGTTTCCTCGTCGCACATGGGCGGAAGCGTGTCAAATGGAACACACTAGCAGAGCCCGTTCTCGGTCCCTTGCTTCCAGCGTTTGTCCTGCTGTGCGGCACACTGATCCCTGCGGTTCTCCCTGTGGCCGGGTCTGGGAAATAAAACGACTCGCGGTGCTTTAAGGAGGAGGGGGACTTGCACGCAGAACGAGGGTGTCCATGCTGGAGGCCAGTGCCAAGTCTAGTGTCCTGGCTCAGGGCTCGCTACCCTGCCTTTCCCCTCACCTGCTGCTTCTCCCCACGCTACCTCCAACTCCATCACCTCTGTCTGTCTCCTCAGGACTGCACCTGTGACCCTCCCTTCTGGAATAAGCTCTCCTGGGAGGTCAGCTAGGAGCCCAGGTGGCGCTGCTGGGTAAGCGTTGCACTGCTAACCTGGGGATCAGCGTTCCAAGCCTGGTCTGCTCCGTGGGAGAAAGATGAGGCAGTCATTTAATTATACCGGGTATTCTGGTAACTCGTGCAAGGGTGCGCCCAGAAAGTTTCACAAAGCCTCCGAAACCCTTCATAGTGTGTTGTGACTGGCAGTCGGCTAGATGGCGGTGAGCTTAGTTTGGTGTGTTAGGTAAGCATCGGGGAGGAAAATGCTGTGTTCTCCGGATCCAGATAGCACTTTAAAGACTGTTGGAGAAGACTAAAGTCCCTGGTTGGTGCAAATGCTTCACTCAGCTGCTGACTAACTGGCCGGAGGTTTGAGGCCACCCAGCGGCACCTGGGAAGAAAGGTCTGGCCATTGGCCGCTGGGAACCTTGTGGAGCACTGGTCTGCTCTGCCACATGTGAGACCGGTACTCAAAAACAACACAGACTCACTGCCACTGAGTCGATGCCCATCGGACAGGGTAGAATCGCTCTGTGGGCATCCAAGAGGGAGAAGAGTCGAAAGCCTTTTCTGTCTCCTGTGGAGCAGCTCGTGGTTTTGAACTGCTGACCCTGAGATCAGCAGCCCAATGTGTAAACCAGCTTGCGGTCCTCTTTGGGACCTCTCAGACTTAGAAATTTCACAGCATCAGGCCGATTCCGACTCATGGTGACCCAGTAGGACAGTAGAACTGTCCCTGTGGGATTCTGAGGCTGTAACTGACGGGGAGGTAGAAAGCCTCATCTTTCTCCCGTGGAGCAGCTGGTGGGTTTCTTATCGTAGATTTAAGCACTCAGGTTTATTATTTTACATAATAGTTTTGTTTCTACCTTTGTAGTTGCTGCTTTTTCCCCCCTCTCCCTTCAGGAAATTGAATTTGAGAAAGAAGAAAATTCTTTCTTTCTCATCAGTTCCTTAATTTATATCCAAAATTTGATGCAATCCTGGTGTCTGAAATAAAATTTAACTTTTGTAAAGCTGATGATACTAATTTCTACTTTTTTATGAGATGTAGTAAATGACTACATATTAGTCTATCGTGAGATTCTAATTTTTAGACTAATTTTTTGTTAACTAAATTTTTGTTTTGGAGAATTATAGACTCGTATGCAATTGTAAGGAACCCTAGAAGTTCTGTGTGCCCTTGACTTGGTTTCCCACAATTTAGCACCTTGTGAAGTTGTACTGTAGTGTCGTAACCAGAAACGTCAGCTTTGATGACTCCTGCTTTATACGAGGGCACCCTGGGGTGCTAGGGGACATAAGCACTGGTTGCACCAGATGCCCCATGAGATAAGGGTGAGGTTTGTCGGTGCCTGTCAAGATCTCCAGTCCCGGGAACCCCATACAGGATCATATGAGAGAATCAGCCTGGTGGCAGCGGGTCTGATTTTGGTATCAAGATGTAGACCATTTCCATCACCACACGGATCCCTGCGTGGGTTGCCCTTTGTATAGCCCCACCCCCTGCCCAATTTCACATCTCCACCCCCATTTAACATCTGGTAACCACTAATCTGTTCTCCATTTCTGTCATCTCATCCTATCACCAAGTCTGTATCAATGAAATCCGCTCGGATCGGCTTCTTTTCCCACTAGCTCAGTCCTCTGCAGATTGATTCAGGTGGTTGCATGTACCAATAGTTTGTTCTGTGTATTCCTGCATAGTATTCGCTAGCATGGGATGGATGTACCGCAGTTTGAGCGATTTACCTGTTGAATGACATCTGGGTGGTTTCCAGTTTTTGACGACTGCTAACAATTCACTCACTCACTGCCATCCAGTCAGTGCTGACTCTTAGTGACCCTATAGGACAGAGACGAGCCGGTGCTGTGGGTTTCCAAGACTGTATCTTTACTGGAGTAGAAAGCCTTATCGTATAGAAAGTCTCATCTTTCCCCAGGGGAGCAGCTGGTGGTTTAGAACTGCTGACCTTTGGGGCTAGCAGTCCAACAAGTAACCACTACGCCACCAGGGCTCAGAATCACTAACAATAGCAGTATAAACATTCATAGACAGATTGGATTTATGTGCAAATGTTATGTCTAAATTTGTCAGCAGTAATTGCCTGAGCGTGCCAATTGTTGGGTTATATGATAGTTGCATGTATAGTTTTTTACAAGAAGCTTCCAAATTGTTGTCCAGCGCAGCCGTATTCTAGTATGTTCCCACCAGCAATGTATGTGTTTCTCCACATCCTCACTAACGGCTGCTGCCGTCGCCCCTTTGTATTTTAATCATTCTTCCCAAGTACGTAGTCTCTCGTGGCCGTTTTCCGTTGCGTTTCCCCGAATGGCTCGTGATGCCGATCACCTTGGCATGTGCTTGTTGTCATCCGTCCATCCTCTGGTGAAAGACCTATCTGTCCCTGTCTTCTGTCTTCATTCTAAGAAGGATCGTTTGCTTTTTTCCTGTTGAGTTTTGGGAGTTCTTTGTATACAGTAGTCTAGCTACGCATCCCGTTGCAGGATCTAGATCTGCAGACATTTTCTCCTCGCTTGCAGCTTGTCTTTGCCTTCTCTTCAGAGGCATTTTGAAGAGCGAAGAAATACAAGTGATCAGTTTTTCCTCTTGGGAGCAGGCATTTGTAGTTGAGCCAAAGAACTCTTTGCCTAGCTTTTCCTAAAAGTTCTATTGCTTTACTTTTCATACTGTAAGTCCGCAATACATTTTGAGGTAATTTCTCTACGCGGTGTGAGACTTGGAGGTTTGTTTTTTTCCCTGCCTTTGGTTGCCAGACTCTTCCAGCATCTATGCGTTACCTGTGCATCGCTGTCAAAAATAAATTGAGCACGTGTCCATGTGAGCCTGGGTCTCTTCCATTGATCTCTGTGTCTTGATTACTGTAGCCGTGTAGTGAATTGTATAGGAAATCAAGTAGTCTGAGTCTGCCCACTTTTTATTTTCAGAATTGTTCTAGCTCTTAAAATTCTTTTGCTCCTGTATAAATTTTAGAATAGTCTTATTTGCATTTAAATATATATATATATTTATTGCTGAGCTTTTGATAGGAGTTGTGATAAATCTGGTTGGATATAATTTGGGGACAAATTGATATCTTCTACTTTATGAACATGGTCATAGTACATAGTTTTCTTTTTATCCATATCGCTGAGTTTTACTTTAAGCTTTGCTGAAGATTTCAGTATATACTCATGAGGAATGTTGGTCTAAAGGGTCATTTTTTTACTGTTTTTAAGATCAGTGTAACACTTGCTTCATACAATGAGTTGTGAAGTATTTCCTTCTCTTCTGTTTTCTGCATAAAATCATATTGACTCAGTGTTAACTATTTTGTAAATGTTTGACAGATCTCTCCAGTGAAACCATCTGGGCCTGGAATTTCTTTTTTGAAAAACTTTAAATTTGGGATTCAAAATATTTTAGTAGTTACAGGACTAGTCCGTTTTGTTCTGTTGTACATAAGATCGCTGTGAGCCAGAACTGACTTCCAAGCAACTAAACAGTAGGGCTGTCCAAATGATCTGTTTCACATCCAGTGTGCTAGTGATTTTGAAGCATTGGTCCGTTTTATCTAAGATGTCAAATGTATGTGTTTCAGGGGGTTATCCTTCAGATGGCCACCGGGCTGCTCGTGATAGCTCCGATGGCATTTCTGGAACAGTTATTGGTGCCCTTCTGGGGCTCAGTCTTGCCAGCCAGTTTCATCCAGACACCAGCCATTAGTCTCTTCCGTATTTCTCTGTTACTTTACTCTTTTTCATTTTGTGGGATTCTGCTCTTG